AGCAGATTTCACATGAATTCATTATTATCTAAATTATCTCTGAGAAAAATTGTAAAAGGAAGGCCAACTTGCCCAGAGCAATTAGCATGAGAGGAGGGTGCTGTCATAGGCAACGTATTACTTGAAGCTCTTTATCTATGACCCTGGTGATGTAAGAAACACAGAACTGAAGTCTTGTCAGGAAGGGTGACCTCCAGTCAGAGGAAAAGGATACTAGTTTGGTATTCTAGCTGTTGGATTATTGTTATTAAACAATAAGTGACTGAAGAAGAATAGAAGAGACAATGTTTCAGTCTTGTCATACATGGATAAAATCTCTGAAGAATCATTTCTAACTTGCCATTGCTGTGGTAGGAGCTACCAACTGCATGCCCAATTAAGTCAGTGACCACTGTTATTCTGTGTAATAAGAATTACCTCAGTCTTAGTATCCCTAAAATGGGACTATTGCTGTCTATTTAGGTATAAATAGACAATAAATTTTCTTAAAGAAATTGCAATTGTAGGTTGTGGCATAAAACCCAACTGCTTGTATATCAAATTCAGCTTTGGAGAAATTTACTGATCTAGGTCCTTTCCCTTTAGTCAGAGTTCCTGAGGACTAGTCCAACCAGATCATCTTTCACAAGGATTTTCTAGTGCCACGGTGATTTCCAGCTTTCTGCCAATAGAGTCACCCTCATTGTAACTAACAGTTTCCTTACCAGGGAGAGTTGCTGAAACCTTGAAATTCACTCTCAACAGTCAGTATACTGATAATTATAACCTTCTTCCTCTCCAAACCTGCTCCTCTTCTGCTATTTTCTATCTTAGTTAATGGCATCATTATCTACCTATTTGTCCAAGCTAGAAATGGCAAAATTTTTTCAATTATCCACTTTTCCTCTTTCTCCACATTTAGGAGGTTTCCACCATGTCATGGCCATTCTACCTCTGATAGATCTTTTATGTAGCTCCCCTCCTCCATCCTCCTACTGCCTTAGTTTTGGCAATCCTCATGTCTCAGCTTGACCATGGAAGTAAAATGGTTAAATGGTTTAAGAAATGGGTAAATTTGCCTTTTTTTTCCCTCTTTCACCCTGATGCATGGATTAATTTTCTAAAATTCCTTCCTATAAAATAGTCATTGATTTCCTACAGCCTATAAAATAAAGGCATTACTCAAGTAATATTTTTAGAGTATCTACTATATGCTAGGAATTAAGAGCTCACTGTAAAAAGGTAAGAAATATGGAAAAAAGATAAAATCCTTTGCCTTCAAGGAGCTCACAATCTAGAAGGGAAAATAGCATACCAACATAATGTGGCAAGTGTATGTTATTAGAGTATGCAATGGTCAGTAGTAGCATAAAATGCAAAAGAGTGAGCAATTCCACATGGAGGTATTGAAGAGAAGTGTATAGATTTGACTGTGTCTGGAAGTATATATAAGCTTTTTCCATGCAAACAAATGAAAGAAGGCCTTCTAGGCCAAGACAACAACATTGTGCAAAGGTTCTAATACCTAGGTAAACATTGCTTATTTAGGGAACTACAAGTTATTGGACATTGGAGAAGAGGGTATAAATGGTATTAGGTGATATACACAAAAGAGTCTAAAATTTGACCTGAAGGTTATGGTAAGCCATTAAAGAGATTTAAACAGGATAATAACAAAGATCATGTTTGTGTTTTGGAAAAAAGCAGAAATGAAAGAGAGAACAATTGGGACATTATTACAATAGGTAAGATATGATGAAGCCCTCAATTTAAACAATAGCAATGACATTTGTAGTGCTAGAGTTAGGACAGACAAAAGATGACTCCTTACCAAGAAATGAAAGGCCCTGCAAAATGCAGTCTTGATCTATCAGAGTTCCTGGCACATAGGAGATACCCAATACACTCAATAAATAATTGTTGAATAAATAACTAAATAAAGTTACTTTCTGTATCTGTTATCTATTGCTTCATAAGAAATCATTCCAAAACTTAGTAGCTTAAAACTACAAAGTTTACTACTTTCCACAATTTTGTTGTTTAGCTGGATGGTGCTCATGTTGATTTTTGCCTGAGTTCATACATATGACTGCATTCAGCCTGCTTGTCAACTGGAGATGGATTCTTCCAGAGACTCATATCTTCACATGGTCTCTCTCTTTTCATGGGATCTCTCTGCATGTGCAATGTGTGTGTGTGTGTGTGTGTGTGTGTGTGTGTGTGTGTCCTTGTCTCTCTCTGGGATATGAGACATGTGGTCTCTCTCTATGAATCTCCCTCCACATGGTCTCCCTCTCCATGGGCTCTCTCTCCACGTAGTCTCCCTTTCATTGGGATCTCTTTCCATGTTCCTACTCCTCCATGAGATCTCTAATGGCTAATCTGGGCTTCTTCATCCATGACAGCCTCAGGGCTCCAACCAGGCAAGTCTTGTGCATGAGTGCTTGTCCAGCCTCTATATATCACATGGTCAAGCCTCAACATGAGAGGAGATTATACAGAATGAGTCTTCCAGGAGGCATGACTCCTTAGAAGCCATTATTACAGCAGCCACACATCTCTATACTCAAGTATACTACTTCCCTCACAAGCACACAATATTCTAATTTATTGTTTTTCTCCTAGGTTCCCAGACATGTAATGAACTTTTATACCTCCTTAACTTTACCTAGGCTTCTCCTCTTATATTTCATAGTGCTCCCATCTGCCTTGGAATATTCTCTGCCTCAGATAGGAAGTACCTACTTTCAAAGTCAGCTACAACGGCTGAAAAGCCTGAAAATACAGGGGAGGAACAATCCTTTCCCTGAATCACTTTTCTCCTAACTTACAGTAGTAATCTCAATGTACCAGAATTATCTATTGACATGTCTTTCTCTAGCCAGCATTTGAGCATCTCAAAGGTAGTCACTATGTCTCATTCATCTTTGTGTATCCAATAGTTATCATCAATTATCCTCATTCTTGATGCAGAGTTGCTTCTCAAACATTTACTGGGTGAATGACTCTGTTCCTAACTTATATGCATAGGGTTATGAATCATTTTGTAGACTATGCACATCATTATGGAAATAATAGCCTAAAATAACTTAAATTATATATATTCAACAGATTTTACTCAGAAATAGAGACCTAAAAGATGTATTAGAACATTACATGCCTTCACATAAGCATGTAAAGAAGTGACAGTATTGTCTTAGTGGCTAACACGAAATTTCTCTTTAGAGAAGGAAATTCCTTGATAAGTCAATGCAAGACATATCAGTTCCAGGAATGAGATCTGGCTACCTTATAAAAGATGGACCATGGTCCCAAGAATACCATCAATGTGGAGGGTAACTCCAGCATCCTTGGCAGAACCAGCAAAATGATCCCTAACTAGACTGGTTTCTATAATGCTTACTTCTGAGATCCATATTTTGGGAAATAAAGAGGAGTTTCCGTTGAAAGGGGGAGATAATCCCTCAGATTTCACTTCTGAATCTACTTTGGAGACCCACCCTCTTAACCTCCAATAGGGTCCAATACCTTGGGTCAATCTATGCATGTGGTACTGTCAATCAAATGTGGTTCAAGGGCTTCCCTGGTGACGTGGTCGTTGGGGGTCGGCCTGCAGATGCGGGGAGCGCAGGTTCGTGCCCCGGTCCGGGAGGATCCCGCGTGCCGCGGAGCGGCTGGGCCCGTGAGCCGTGGCTGCTGGGCCTGCGCGTCCAGGGCCTGTGCTCCGCGGCGGGAGGGGCCACAGCAGTGAGAGGCCCGCGTACCGGAAAAAAAAAAAAAATGTGGTTCAAAGAGCACTCTAAATTATAAGCAATGTGACACAACTGTGAATTTCCAGAAACCCCAGTGAGTGACATAACAGCCTGCCCCATGGTCCTCCTAGGGGATGAAGTCCTTTTAACATCTGGAAATATGTACTAAAGGGCCTAACAATAATCCTAGCAGCTACTAGCAGCAGCTTCAGGTAACAATTAGGCACTGGTTTATTTATCATGCTGTGGCAGAGGCAGTAACACTCATCCAATATTCTATTTGCTCCCAACACTTCCTAACCTCTTTGCATCTTGATGAAGATATATGACTACTTCTGGCCAAAGACATGAGTGGAGAAAAGCCTGTGCATGATTCTCAAGTCTCTCTCTCTTCCCCTGCCATGATGTCTGAGTGGAGAGCTCTAATCCAAATGTTGCTGCTACAAGACTGCAGAGCCTACATCAATCCAGATGCAGAGCCCACTGTCAACCACAATAATATGTTTCAGGAGCAAGAAATAAACTTTTGTATGTTAAACCACAGATATTTGGATGTTGTTTATTACTGACAATGCAATTTAGCCTAATCTGGCTAATACATATTATTCAAATATAGGGGTTTTTTTTTCAGTTATCCTTAAATAATACTTCAACAGACATTTATTATCTACTATGTGCCAAGCACTCTACTGAATATTTAGGATATAACAGTTAACATATTTTTGGAGAAATTAGAACTTTATTATATTATAAACATTTCCAGAATATAAACTGATTTTGTATCAAGACTTCTTGAAACGTTTAAAACTGTATGTAACTTAAGCCTATTATAATGTATGTCATTTTCCACTTTCCAATCTAGAAAATATACTGCAAGTTAGATCTAACGAAGGAAAAGAAAATCAATCTAAACTGCTTCACAGAGAAAACTAATGAATATAAAAACACCCATCCCAAACTAAAACCCAATCAAGAAATAGATTCTGTAAAGCTATTAATTCTCCAATTTAAAATAAATGACCTCCCGAGGGAAAAATACTTCCACCATCATAGCAATTTGATGAATAAAAGCAGAGCCACCCTCATTAAGGGAGGTTACATTATGTATAAGAAAAATGTAGTAATGATTTTAGAAGAGAGGAAAAGTAATTTCCATGTTGGAGAGAAAGTACACTAAATGTTTTCTGTTCACTTAGCCTTTGTACCTGTTCACATGAAAAGAGCGATATGAACATGGACATCGTAAAACCAAGCTCCTCAACTATTTTTTCAATTTAACCTCAGGAGAACCAATGCAAGCGCTTCAAAATCCAAGGATAGACTGGTCCCAAAGCATCTCCTCTTCTTGTCCTTTCTTTCCCTTGTTCCCAAAGCATCTCCTCTTCTTGTCCTTTCTTTCCCTTGTTCCTTTTTCTCTTTTCTACGCTTACATTCCTCTTTCTTAGAGGCTACATCTTGGCTTTTTTTGTCCTTTCAGTTCTTAAGCTTTTCTGTACTGACTCTGACTGTTTCCACCTCTGTTTTGTTTCTTTGGATGCTCTTGTGTTTGTCTAAGTCTATTTCCTCATAAGCTTTCTTCATCTTATGCTTGGGCCGCTCCTCTTCTGGTTTATCCCAGCCTTCCTCTGGGTGTCTTTTTCTCTTCTGATGTATCTGTTTATAACTAGTTTGATGGGCACTGGTACTGTTTTCTAAGGAGAGATGCCTGTAAACTCCAGATTCTACACTGTATGAGCTACAGTTATACTCTTGTTGACTAAAGTTCAGGGCTACTGGTTTTCCTGAGAAACAGTCCCTGGTGAATTGACAGTTGCTCAGGGAGTCTAGTCTCAGCCTGCTGTCATAAGCTGGTAGCCACTGAGGTAACCGCTTCTCCACTGCTTGTGAAATATTGCATGGTCTTTGGTAGGTCTGGACGGGTTCATAAGGGAGTCTTTGATTAAACATTCTACACCTGGGTCTAGAATCAACCTCTTCTTTGTATCCACAGGTTTCCAAATAATCCTCTCTCATCTTTCTGAAACAAGTATTTGGCTCTAAGCCTCTGGTTTTCTGCACTTTGATATAATCTTCAAGTTCATCCTGAAAAGAGTCAGATGTCTTCTTTGAATGCTTCATTAGGTTGACAAGGGATTCTCCTTATCAGGTTGAGAACTTGATGGAGAAATTTGATCATATTCACCCATTAATTGCTTCAGTTTTTTAGCATGAACTTTCCCCAAATAGTGAGACTGTGCAACAACTGAAGAGCTAAAAACCATGATGCAGAGATTAAAAAATCTATTTTTTTGTCCAATACTCCACTCCCATTCACCTCATAATGTGAAATCCACTGCGATTCAAATTATGTCACTATTCCTTATAAGCCTTTTACAAAAGGTATCTGTATAAAGTTCAGTCTTTGCTCATTCAACGTGGTATCTTCTCTGAGGCAGGGGCAGCCGTCTACAACTACAGTCCCCCGCCCTGCCAACGTCGCCAGTCGGTGGGTAGGCCAAGGTGGTGGAGGCGGAGAGGCAGGGACAACCGTTGCCGCCACCGCTGCCTCAGCCACCGAGCAAGTGGGGTGGGAGCAGGAGGCGGAGACCGGACTTCCTGAGGGAAAGTTGCTACCACTACCAGGGGATGACTGGACAGCACCGCCGCCATGGCGGTGAGGTGCACTACTCCAGTTAACATTTTTTTTTTTTTTTTTTTGCGGTATGTGGGCCTCTCACTGTTGTGGCCTCTCCCGTTGCGGAGCACAGGCTCCGGACGCGCAGGCTTGGCGGCCATGGCTCACGGGCCCAGCTGCTCCACGACATGTGGGATCTTCCCGGACTGGGGCACGAACCCGTGTCCCCTGCATCGGCAGGCAGACTCTCAACCACTGCGCCACCAGGGAAGCCCAGTTAACATTTTTAAAGTGTTGTCCTTGTGGAGTTTATATTCTAATCAAGAAAATCACAATCACTATCAATAATCATGACCACTAAGTACAAAGAACGTTGACAAATAAAGGAGATACTGTCATAATATTATTAAGGACATTATTATTTATATGTGAGTTTTTCTTATTCACAAGATTAGAATATGCTTACTTTAGCTGAGTACATATTATATAACTGATTTATCTTTGATTCAATATTTGCTTCAAATTATTTAAAATGTACAGCATTTTCAAAGGAGCACCAACAATTTTAACAATTTTGAAGAAAGGTAAATGAAGAAGCAAGCAGTCTACTGCTTAACCAAAGGTCATTGTCATGCTAAATATAGTACAGGCTGTGCTCACTGAGAGAAGTCAGTCATCATCAACTTTCAGTCATTATTTGAAAGGCATTTAGAGGGCAAAGCCAGATTTCTTCTTTTCATTTGCTAAGATAAAACACTGATCCAAGTGTCTCAAATTCAAGTGCCTTTGGTTCCAGGAAAGCAATAAAAGAGTAAAGAAAACCAGATTTTTTGTGTGTCAACTGCTAAAAATATAACTATTTTTCATTTTATTGAAATATCATTTAACTATGTCTAATAATGTAAACATGTATTATAGCAGAGATTACATTTTAAATTGTACCTTAAATATACACATTGGCAGAATCAAGATGGCAGAGTAAGAGGACACAGAGTTCAAGTCTCCTCACAGCTAGGGCTCCTGCTAGATGCTGGTGGGGGACCTCAGACACCTAAGTTGATGGGAGGAATCCTTGCTCAACCAGGTAGGATGTGGGAGGGAAGGGGAGGGGCAAGGAAAAATGGAGGTGGGTTGGGACCAGCACCCCTGAGGGAGGCTGGAGGAGGGGAGAGGTTCCCATGCTCAGAAGGGCCCACTCAAGATGGGGAGATAAGTGGGGATTGGAGGGGGATGCAGTGTCTCCCCTGCCCACTTGGGCCCTGGCAATCCTGTTGGGATCCCAGGCCTTAACGCCCAGATCCCAAGGCCTCCTCCAGCTAGATGAGTCCCGGGCCTGAGCCTCCTCCCCCAACCAGGCCTCTTCTAGTTTCATGGGTCCCAGGCCTGAGCCCTCCCACGACCAACGCCTCTTCTGTCTGCATGGGTCCCAGGCCTAAGCCCCACCCCCACCAAAGCCTCCTCTGGCTGCGTGGGTCCTGGAAGCCTGAGTACCATCCCTGACAGGGCCACCTCTGGCCACACGGGTCCAGGTGGGTTGAGTACTGCCCCCCTCCAAGGCCTCCTCTGACTGTGCTGGCCCCTGTGAGTGCACCGATGGAGGCCTGCGCCCCAGCACTTGTCCTCTGGGCCAGCTCCAGTAACAGACGCTGGTGAGAGGAACACACGCAGAAGTGGGGCTGACACAGCGGGTCCAGAGACCTCCCTAGAGGTCTTGGAGGCCTACTGGGGAGGTGGGAGTAGGGTGTTCTTGCACCATCGGAGCAAGAACACTGATAGAGGAGGCACCAGGGAATTTTTTATTATTTTATTTTTCATTTATTTTTAAAATTATTTTTAGTACTTTTATCTTTTATTTTTATTCTTACTTTTTTACTTAATTTAAAAATTTGTTTATGTTGTTTATTTTTTTTGCTGTTCTGTTTTGTTGTTGTTTAATTATTTTTCTAATTTTTTTTAGTTTTTATTCTTTGTTATTGTTATGCTCTTTTCTGTTTGTTGATTTTTTTCTTTTCTTCTCTTTTTTTTTTTTCTTTTGACTATCCGCTCAGCCTGCAGGGTCTTGGTTCTCAGGGCAGTGGTCAGGCCTAAGCACCTGTGGTGGGAGTACCAAGCCCAAGTGCTGGACTAACAGAGAACTTCAGATCCCAGGGAATATTAATTGGTATGAGGTCTCCCAGAAGTCCTCATCTCGACACCAAGACCTGGCTCAACCCAACTGCTTGCAAACTCCAGGGCTGGATGCCTTAGGGCAAACAACCAGCAGGACAGGAACACAGCCACACCCAACAAAAAAAATGAAATGACAAAAAAAAATATTAGGAAGGACAAGAAAAAACATACAAGACCAAATAAATGAAGAGGAAATAGGCAACCTATCTGAAAAAGAATTCAGAGGAATGATAGTAAACATGATCCAAAAACTTGGAAATAGAATGGAGCAACAGATCAAGAAAATACAAGAAATGTATAATAAAGACCTAGAAGAACTAAAGAGCAAACAGTGATGCACAACACAATAACTGAAATGAAAAATACTCTAGAAGGAATCAATAGCAGAATAACTGAGAGAGAAGAACAATAAGTGAGCTGGAAGACAGAATAGTGGACATAACTGCCGAGGAGCAGAATAAAGAAAAAAGATGGGGGCTTCCCTGGTGGCGCAGTGGTTGAGAGTCCGCCTGCCGATGCAGGGGATGTGGGTTCGTGCCCTGGTCCGGGAAGATCTCACATGTCGCGGAGCGGCTAGGCCCGTGAGCCATGGCCACTGAGCCTGCACATCTGGAGCCTGTGCTCCACAACGGGAGAGGCCACAACAGTGAGAGGCCCACGTACCGCAAAAAAAAAAAAAAAAGAAAAGAGAAAAGATGGAAAATAAATGAGGACAGTCTCAGAGACCTCTGGGACAACATTAAAGGCACCAACGTTCGAATTATAGGGGTCCCAAAAGAAGAAGAGAAAGAGAAAGGGTCTGAGGAAATATTTGAAGAGATTATAGTCATAAACTTCCCTAACGTGGGAAAGGAAATAGCTGCCCAAGTCCAGGAAATACAGAGTCCCATACAGGATAAAACCAAGGAGAAACACACCAAGACACATATTAATCAAACTAACAATAATTAAAATCAAGAAAAAAACATTAAAAGAAGCAAGAAAAAAGCAACAAATAATACACAAGGGAATGCCCATAAGGTTATCAGCTGCTTTTTAGCAGAAAAACTGCAGGCCAGAAGGGAGTGACAGGATATATTTAAAGTGATGAAAGGGAAAAACGTACAACCAAGATTATTCTAACCAGCAAGGATCTCATTTGGATTTGACAGAGAAATCAAGAGCATTACAGACAAGCAAAGACTAAGAGAATTCAGAACCACAAAACCAGCTTTACAACAAATGCTAAAGGAAATTCTACAGTAAGGAAACACAAGAGAAGGAAGAGACCTAAAAAAACGAACCCAAAACAATAAAGAAAATGGTAATAGGAACATATATATTGATAATTACCTTAAATGTAAATGGATTAAATGCTACAACCAAAAGACATAAATTGGGTAAATGGAAACAAAAAATAGACCCATATATATCTGTCTACAAGAGACCCACTTCAGACCTAGGGACACATACAGACTGAAAATGAGGGGATGGAAAAAGATATTCCATGCAAATGGAAATCAAAAGAAAGCTGGAGTAGCAATACTAATTTCAGAGAAACTAGGTTTTAAAATAGACTCTTACAAGAGATAAAGAAGGACACTACCTAATGATTAAGGGATCAATCCAAGAAGAAAACATAACAATTGTAAACATTTTTTAACATCTTTATTGGAGTATAATTGCTTTACAATAGTGTGTTAGTTTCTGCTTTATAACAAACTGAATCAGCTATACAATACACATATCTCCATATCTCCTCCCTCTTGCATCTCCCTCCCACCCTCCCTATCCCACCACTCTACGTGGTCACAAAGCACCAAGCTGATCTCCCTGTGCTATGTGGCTGCTTCCAGTAGCTATCTCTTTTACATTTGGTAGTGTATATATATACATGACACTCTCTCCCTTCGTCCCAGCTTACCCTTCCCCCTTCCCATGTCCTTAAGTCCATTCTGTACATCTGTGACTTTATTCTTGTCCTGCCCCTAGGTTCTTCGGAACCATTTTCTTTTCTTTTTTTTAGATTCTATATATATGTGTTAGCATACGGTATTTATTTTTCTCTTTCTGACTTACTTCACTCTGTATAACAGTCTCTAGGTCCATCCACCTCACTACAAATAACTCAATTTCATTTCTTTTTATGGCTGAGTAATATTCCATTGTATATATGTGCTACATCTTCTTTATCCATTCATTTGTCGGTGGACACTTAGGTTGCTTCCATGTCCTGGCTACTGTAAACAGATCTGCAATGAACATTGTGGAACGTGACCGTTTTTGAGTTATGGTTTCTCAGGGTATATGCCCAGTAGTGGGATTGCTGATTCGTATGGTATTACTTCTTTAGTTTTTTAAGGAACCTCCATACTGTTCTCCACAGTGGCTGTATCAATTTACGTTCCCACCAACAGTGCAATAGGGTTCCCTTTTCTCCACACCCTCTCCAGCATTTATTGTTTGTAGATTTTTTGATGATGGCCATTCTGACTGGTGTGATGTGATACCTCATTAGAGTTTTGATTTGCATTTCTCTAATGATTAGTGATGTTGAGCATCCGTTCATGTGTCTATTGGCAATCTGTATATCTTCTTTTGAAAAATGTCTGTTTAGGTCTCCTGCCCATTATTGGATTGCATGTTTGTTTTTTTGATATTGAGCTGCATGAGCTGCTTGTACATGTTGGAGATTAATCCTTT